TTGTGGAATCTGATGAGTTTCAATAATTTAAACGGTTTAGATTAATCCTTGCTTGTGCTTCTTTGTCGAAATGAATTCAACACAGAGCTTTGCGGCAATTCTCCGCATAGTTTCTCAAACATTTGAAACAGTTTGCAAGATTATATAATCAGAACAAAAAAATATTTCTGGAATCTTTGTGAAATTTTGCAAATAATAGACATAAATTTCTACATCAAAATCAACAAAACAAGAGTGCTTAAATCGAAATTAATTAACCGCAAAGAGTTAACGTGTGAAGACTCTCGTATCGTTCAACATCGATCCTTCTCGTGTTCACGTGAGCAAGAGTAATACGTGCGAAAATATTTTAATGTCAACATTCCTCTGTTCGAAAATGTTATATACTTCTAATTCTATTAGATCATTATAATAAGTAGTTTCTGTGGTTGCTTCCACGCGTCATATACATGGCGTCCGGCCAAAACTATCGAGTTTTCTCAATGCAATGCAGGTCGAAGTTGGTCGCCACGAATCCACAGTCCGACGGCATTCGCGCAATCCAACTAAAGTGGTCTGTTCCCTTTATTTCCGTTCCGATGCACCCCGAGCAAGCCACCGGTCGCGTTGTATAAGTCGAAATAATGTTTCCTCGCGTACGCGACGTCGTCGTCGATGTGACTCTTGTAATTCATCGATATTCCAGACAGTCAGCTTTCTTGAGATTCCCTTCGCTAACGGTATACGTACCTGCAATCTCCGCCTCGCAATCCACGTTGCAGTGATTTCTCGCCCAGAAAGCAACGCTCTCTCGATATTAAAGACTTGTTTCCACCGCGTAATATCGCCACGTACAGCTGTTTGGATAGCTGAGCAAATAGCGCGACATTAACTAAGCGCAAGATTAATTAGCGCGTTCTTTATCAAAAAAGATTCACAAAAATTTTAATTTATTTTATTTTAGAAAATATACTTATGTGTGTGTGTGTGTTAGTCCAAAATAAAAAAAGTTTCTAAATGATTCCAACTGATTCTCGTGTTCGAATTGAATATGAGCTACATGTTAAACAGATATTACTGGAAACATCACAATACTGCACTTAGCGGTAAATGTGTCGTAAAAATTCCGAAACTTAAAGAACCCTCGAGAAATCTCTTTTCCTCTCATGGAAGTTTTTCTCCGAACATATGGAACCAGACTGAACCGAAACGATAACCGAAAACGATTCGATACGCTCTGTTGGCAAAGCAAAACGAGGCAAGAGGAAGCGATATTAAAAAAAAATTCCAAAGTTTTAGGATAGATCGAGACTAATTGAGCAACCGTTCTCGAATGACTTCAGCTGGCCGAAAACTTTGGAGGCACGAACACTTCCATATGGATATCTACGGCATAACGAGTGACCATTTCCTTAAGAATAATTCAAAGTGCATAAAAAATTGCGCAGATTTTGGTGGAACTGAAATCTGACAAACATTTTGACGCGTTAATTGGCACGAATTGATTCTACAAAATGTTTTCCATATTCAATAGCGTGGCGTTCTTGTTAGCCCGTCAATTATATCGCACCGTGAAATGAACGGGCGAGTGGGTATGGAAATTAAACTGCCACCTAGAACATATCGCGGCGATAGAAAATTCTATGATGGCTGCAGGCCAGCGCGCGATCGTTCGTTCCCGTTCGGGGCTTAACCGCGGAATTAATTTCGCACCGGCGTTTTAACGTCGTTCGTAACTCGCGCGGGACCTCGAGAGAGATGCTCTTTGTGCCCGAGGCCCGCGACGCAGAAATAACCGGCGTTATCCGCGCGTTCCGGCCCTTGAGTCACACCGAGCGCAAAATGGCATGACTTTCCAGAAGCGATCTTAGTCATTCATCGAGGAGGGACGGTGAGAGAAAAAAGAAAGAGAGAGAGAGACACAGAAGCGACGCATTTTCCAACTCGTATGTCGTTCGCAAATATCTGCCGCATATGATCTGCCGCGCCGTCCCCTTTATTCCGAAGAACAGCAACAGCTGTCTCACGAGCTGCGCCCGAAGTGACGTTCGCCGATGATGAGACAATGACAGTAAAATTCGACGTGACGCCCGCGAGAAGTTATATATCTCGTTATAACGCGCTTTATTTTGTTCGCTTGACAGCGCGGGTTTTCCCGTCCTTCTATTTCGTTAATTAACTCTATTCGCGCGAAACTTTCGCGCTGAATTACAAGGAAGTCGCGCATATTTTTAATTAGGAACGAACTACTACCGCCACGCCGGCGCCGCTGCGCATTTACTTTGTCCGAGGCATTATCAAGCGGAGTAACTCCTCCGTACGCGGGGGGCTTAACACGCGGGAAATCCGCGACGCATCGCAGCTGATAAATATAAAAACGCAATGAGATTTCGTAAAAGCTTAAGGGAAGCGTACGTCGTAATGATCCTCATAAAATAATCGGCCGGCACTCGATATGTCAGAGTAGCAAATTGTTTTAATATATATATATATCACGCAATAAATTGATTTTCACCAGATCATGCCTGGTACGTGTTTCTGAGCCTTATCCAGATACCCGCGTTATCGGATGCTGTCGCGAAACTGAATCCGATATTATTGGAGATCGTACCTGCCCGAATAATCTGAGTCGTAATGAAGCTTCGGCTCACCGTGATCCAATGAGATCGTTCTGATATATGTAGGTGCCTTCGTGCGCTCGTAATCGTGATACGTTTCATCTCAACTACGCTCAACATTTACGTTAATCCAGGATACGCGCGACGATATCAATGGGAAACGTACTTCTTTCTTTTTTTTTTTTTTTTCTTTTCATACGATGCATTCAAGGGTGACTTGTTGACTGAAATCGAACCGTGAGTTTACAGCGGAACGACCGCGATGAGATAAAACAAGAAAGAGTAAACCGGAGCCTCGTGTTACCCGTGGCGTGTAACCGAGAAACGGGATGCGAAAATCGAACCGCATGCATTATTCGACGCGAACAGTGGCATGACTCATCGGCGTTCTAATGAACTCTTGAAACGATTTTCCGGTGCTTTGAAGGAACCAACATGGGCCTGGGCAGCGCGGCATTATGTATTCTACGTCTGTTGAATGTTTTTTTTTTTTTCGCGAAGTCAAATACGAAAATAAACCGGAATGCGTGGAAAAATAATTTTCTATGGAAAGTAAACATCGCGCGCATCCGAATCTGGAAGAGATCCAAACGGGAAGAGAGTAATAATTTCGTTCGTTTCGCTAACCTACGGAAATTTTGACACGGAGAAAGAAGTTGTTTGAAATAAGAAGAGAGAAGCGAGTGATGTCTCTATGATCTTTCATAATTTTATCGCGACAAACTCTTTTAATAAAAGAGAGATAATTTTTAGAACACTTTTTTAAGTCTTTGATTGTAAACGACCTGAAAAAAGAATACTTATAGATGATGAAAAGTTAGTTATCTCATGCTTATGCATAGTGGCACGCACAACATAATTCAATCGCTGAATGTTTGTCTTAACAATCATGTTTCTCTTTTCTGTACCTCACAGAAGACGTTATAATGAATCGTGTAATTAAGATCGCTTAACACGTCGCTTAACACGTCGTATCTCCCGTGCATGCTTAACACGCGCGTGTAAACAGTGTTGTGGTATTTCGATGACGAAAATATCTCCAGATAACAGATTTAGTTGTCGGGTGGGTCAAAGATACCGGAAGAAACCGAATGTGTCTCCATACATCACGTTAAACAAAGCTCCGCTCTGAAAATAGGAACGAATAAATAATTTCTAATAAGCGCGAGAAAGGATATCTCCCCGAAGTGAACAAAAAATCGAAGCGGCGCTGATGTTTATTCAGAGTATTTATTTATGGATCGTCGAATATTCATATCTCATGAGAATCGGATTTTCCGAAGTCAGATTTTGCGAATGGCTGCAAGATCCCGAGGATTCGGATTATCGTACGCGGGCTTTGGCTGTTGAATATTTCTCCGTCCTGTATTTTTCAGCGATTTTCAGCGGCACACAGCTATTTTGCAGTCACACAAAGGTATCGAGTACGGCGCGGAATATCTCTTTTTAAAAAATCGCAACCCACCTTTCCGATGTAACATTGAAAGAAATTGAAAAAGACAGACATCTGAATGACACATACGATCGGGCATGCTCAAGGAATATGCTCAACGACGCTGAGATAAACTTATAAATAGCCGCAAGGAAGTCGACGTAGAAATCAGTGAAAACATTTCCAACCAAATAGAATTCTATTATTTAACGCAAATGAATTAAAATGAAATTTTTATAATCTATATTACTGCTCGTCAAATCATTTATAAATAAATATAATATAATTTAAGTCGTATAATACGAGATCTCACACGGTATATCTTGACTTTATTTTGAATAACGACTTTATTTCGAATAACTCGAATAAGCGGTTGATTTTGTATCGAAGCGATACGTAACCTCGACATTCCTTTTAACAATACGACAATATCAGACGATTCGGTGCGAAAGATTCAATCTGTGCCTGTACGCAGCCAAGAACAGATCATCCTGACCGTATAGAATAAAGAGGAAATATAATAACTCTCTCTTATTTTTCCAACACCCGAGCTACAATAAAATTTCTCTCTTTCTAATGGTTTTAGAAATCGCTATTAATTTTAACGTCAAAACTGTATTATACGCCGTATTAGTTTAAAATAGATTTTTGATAGAATAATAATCCTTGACGAGACTCATAAATCATGCAAAATCGCAGGTAAGGAAACGTACGTACGTACGTACGTTTATTACATTTCCTGAAAACGATCTTAGTCAGTCGCCTTGTTATGATACGCATTACGCAACCAAAGATGTAAATCTGGGTAGAGAAGCGAATGACGAGGCGCACGGCCTTGGCAACATGTCGATCTCGTGCAGCGTTGCAATCTTCTTTAACTGCACCTGTTAACGTTCACCCATAAGTCGCACGCGAGACTCGAGAAACACGCCGTATTCTATTTCTCCTTTCCATTTTTTTTTCTCCTCTAGAGCGTGGAGCTGCTGGAAGGAACTATTCCCGAGGAGGCGACGGAAGTCGAGGTCTCTCACTGCCGAGAACTGCGAATACAAACGGGTGCGTTCGGCGCGGGCGCGCCTTTGAAACGCATGCACGTTTCGGGAATCAACAGCGTGATCGCCAAAAAGCAGGCTTTTCAGAATCTCAGCGCGCACAACACGCATATGGAGGTGTCGGAGTGCGACAGCGTGTTTTTGGACAGTCACGCCTTTCGGTACACACGCGGCACGTTAAGCATCTCGATATCGCGATGCAAACACGTGACGATAAGACCGAATGCCTTTTCGTGGCTGCTGTGGATGAAGGTGAGGGAGGTGTCGAACTTGGAGCTCTCGAGCAACGCCTTCCAATTCGACCAGACCGAACAAGGCAGGCATGGACCGGCGACCAAGGTTTGGATATTTCGCGAATTATCTCGCGTATCACCATTACACATACGCTATCAATCAATATTCGCGGATCCATATTTCAACTTAAAAACAACAGATACAACAGATATTGATATTAATGTATCTACATGATACTCGCATCCCCCAGTTACATTATGCTATTCATTTCTGATATCAGGTATCACGTTAATATGAATAAATTAGATAATATTATTCGTAATACTCTGTTCTGAATGTTATTAAATGGGAACTTTCGAATAATTCCTATCGATTTATATTGGCGCGAATTGTTAGCTAATTAAATCTCAGAGTTAAGAGATGTTCTTAAGTATGGCGACCAAGTCCCGGAAATGTAATTACAGTTTCGTATGGTGCCCTTTGATATAGATTATGTTCCAAAATGTGAGGATTTTGGAGCTACCCACGGTAGTATTTCCTTCGGCTATGGCGGAAATTCACATGGACGATATCTCGATGAAAGTCATAGAGAAGGATGCGTTTTGTGCCATAAACATCATAAATATAATTATCAGCAACACGACTATCCAGGAGATTCGATCCGGCGCTTTCAGCGACAGGGCTCTTATCAACAATCTCAAGTTTGTCGACGTGCAACTTAAAAATATTAAAAAGTCAGCCTTCAGAGCCGGACACGATAATCTCACGATCCAATATTCAAGGTTATTAATATTAAATTTATTTTACAATCCTTACTACGATCGCAGAAATTCATAAAGGCTGAAATACAAAATTGAAGATATTCTTTTTGAAATATATAAAGAAAATTGTATTTAATAATTTTAAATACAATTCAATTTCTTAATATTATTTTTATTTTCTTTCTTATTTTTGAATCCTTAATTATATTATTTATCAATTTAATTATTCAAAAGCTTAATTTCATTTACTCTTATATCTTTTTTTATATTTAGATTATACGATATGGACCCTGGCGCTATCAATACATCGATAGCAACCGTTATCTTCAACAACAATGAGTTTCAACACCTACGTCAAGGCTCAATCGTGCTTCATCAATGGAATCGCATAACGATCGACCACAACCTCTTCGTCGATCTGGAGAATGATGCCATTAAAGCGGAGATCGGCGCCACTTCGAAGGCGAAACTTGAATTTTCCTTCACGGACAATCGCATACACATGGCACGGCCGGGATCTCTCAGGTTCGTGGCAATCTCGCAGGACGTGAATTCAACGTACATTGGCAACAATTATTTCAAGGAAAAGTGCAGTTGCAATCTCGAAAGCTGGGTGCGTGAAGTGACGGGTAACAGTTCGGTTACGCGAGTGATGGACTCCAATTATTGCGTGCTCGATAATTTGTTCAAAGGATGCTTCAATCGGTCGCAAGACTACATGGTTATGCGGAATTTTACGCAACTTATGTGCACGCAAGGGAATCACATTAATTGCGAGCCGCCGTCCTCAGTTCCGGAGCCGAGCGTCAGTCCACCACCTAGCGTTGGTCCTCACGTCTACCCAAAGCAAAAGGGATTCTACGATATGGAAATAAGTGAGTCGGAGCAGCTGGAACGTGAGAAGAGGATCATCGTTATCGTTTGCGTCGTGGCGGTCTTTATCGTCGTTGTGGTGATCCTAGCCTCGGGTATCCTCTACATGCGCCGTCGCGGCGTGTGTCCCAAACTAATATCCGGTTCGCTGATAAATTTGTCGAATTGGCTCTCGCCCAGCAACGGAATGACCGCCGCAACGTCCGCAAGATCGATATCGAGGTTGAGCGTTCACGAGTACGCCGGTCTCCAAACAGAGACCAGAATCCTCGAAGTGGAACCTCAGGCGGAAGGTACGGAGGAGGACGACGAGGAAGGTGACGTTTATCCGGAGAACAAGGCCACGCAAACATTGCCGGAGGAGCTGACGGGGGAGTACGTGAGGGATCTCCAAGAACGGCTGAAGGATCCCGACAATTACAGCCAGGCGAGGGACATGATCCTACATCTGTACGATCTTATCAATGTCGAAAAGAGTTGCAACAACAATAATGACCGGCAACCAACAAATGACGGAGAGGAGAACGCGTACGACGTGATCCAGCCAAGGATTAAAAGGCCTCGCCGCGGTACAAGACCGTCCATAAACATTGGCACCAAAGCACCGTCCTTGGAGAAGCTGTCACCGAGCAGAATACAGAGACCATTCATCACCGACTACGCGGAGCCGCGCGATCAGCGTACTAGCGATCAAAACCATCTGTATGCGGAGTTGCTGGGCGACGAGACGGTGCCCAGCACAAGTCGACTGTCGCAACCGATCTTAGAGAGCTTGATCGGTAGGGCGCCGCAGCCATTACCACCGGACGTCGTGAACGATCATATCGTCGGCAATGATCTTCCTCCGCGAAATCTCGGTTACGGTGCCGACGACGATCGTAGACCATCGCAGAGCCCAAAGTTGGATTCAAATTACAGAAATCAATCTATTATGTCGATGAGCTTTCTCAAAGCTCTCGGCGAGAGTATCCTAGGTACGTCCGGTAAGACGAACAACAAGAGGCCGAATTCGCTGCTGTATGAATATGCCGAACCGTCCGATGTGATCGCTCACCTCTACTCGGAGCTGTCGGAACCCCAACAAACGTCTGCATCCACTAGCAAAATGGCGAATAGGCCCCTGCCCACCAAGCCCGATCAGGATTCCGTCGCCGCAAATGCGACCAAGGCGTAGCGGCGTTCATTATCTGTGATATAAGTATTACATGTTGTAACTTAAAACACTCAAGTGTCCTTTCTTTTCGCCGTCTGTATAAAGAAAGTGTTCGCGCAATATGCTTGTGTTTGTCGGAACGATTGCATAAGAGAATTTCCGCCAGGCGAGAACGGGTCGCTTGGAGTCTCTCAAACAAGAGACTGTGTGTGTGTCTGTGCCACAATAGTGAAGGAAATACGCGTCGGAAATTAATGCAATTCATGCATATACAAGACTCCGGCCGAGCTAGAACGAGTGTCCTTACTTTCGAACCGTGTGTATGAATAAACCTTGTTAGAACAATCGCGCATAACCAGTTCAGACGATGTTTTCGTGAAAGAAAAAAAGGTAAAGCGACTAAGAGAATGTTTATGCGAAAATATCACAGAGTTGTGCCAAAATTAATATACATATGGCTGTATATGAGATAAAACAACCTACTTTTACGTATCTGATTAGCGAAAAATATCGCGAGAGAAATCGAAAATTATTTATGTTTATCTGCGACAGATGAATGTGTAACATAAATTTATATAGATATATATATATATATTTGCTTCGTCGTATTATTAAATAAGTATTTTACATCTGATGTTTGAAAGAAATTAATCGATAACACCCTCAATCCCCACTTTGAAAACATTTGATTATTTCTAATACTTTAAGTATCATATCAAGTGAGAATATACATATTTAAGTTAACAAGAGAAATATTTGATATTCCGCTTGTTAACTTAAATATTTCTCAATAAATATTTAATTTTTATTTAATTATTAAACAATCATGGACGTATAATCATTTCTCGATTTTTAAATAATTTATCTCTTCAGGTATATATATAAATCATCGTTATCTATTTTCTATTAGTCACTATCGCCTATGGGCTTTAGATAATATAAAGGTTCCGTGTAGAAACACGGAATATTTCTCTTTGTTTCCGCAATCAATCCGCCCGAATGGGCAGTAAAACATTTCTTAAGGTCCGACAATCGGATTTCCTTCCGGCTGCTCTCGGACGAGTACCTTTCGCTTCAGATAACGCGCGTTGGTGTCCGAGGAAAGCGTATTCCAATTTCACAAAGTACTTATTCGTAAGTTCACTGAGCGCATCGATTTCTCCTATCTAAATCTCTCAAAATGCTCCATCCCATCGTTGCTTTATCTCGAAGAATTTTACGATTCGAATAGTTTCCTCTAGACGCGGCGTCTCGCCTGTTTCTCGAGAATGCTTTCGAGTTCAGGGGTCGTCACGGCGTACTCGTCCCTTTTATCAAACGACACACAGTGGTGTTTCACTCGAAGCGAGAGCACCCTGGGACTAATGCAGTCGCGAACTAACGTCGATTCGCCTTGGTGCGTCCGACAAGAGTCGAAAGATATTCTTAATACCTCTCGGGACGCGCAGTCAGTGTATATCCACGGCGAGACCAAACTATTCCATGAAGAATGTAAAAGGAACAAATAGAGCCGACTAGCAGGGACGGGCTGCGACGCAGCTGTTGACGTCTAAACGGTCGCCGTTTCTACGGATAGGTAAAACCCAGAGAAAATTCCGCGTGCTACGGAGGCGAGCGACAAAGACGCTCGCCGGGCATGATGGAAAAAGTGTCTACACGAAAGGGCGGAATATGTCTCTTTGCGACAATTAATTTTCCTAATTTTACGTCTCGCTCGAAGCTCGTATTCTTCCTCCGTACTCTTTCGACGGAGTCTTCTCAGCCGAAGTCTAAATTCATAAAGAACGTTCGCACTCTTCCTAGTAATTCGTAGTTAATTTTTTACTCAGTGTGAATTTAATTTAAGATCAAATTATCGCGCTATTTAACGTTGAAAATTAAAGCGCACCGGCAAATTAAATGTCAGGAACCGTAAATGAATAATGTGGACTTAGTTATTTTTCAATTAATTTAGAGCTAAATGTTGCCGCAATGAAGACTTAATTTTCTAGAAATTACTGAATAATTTAACCTAAAAAAGCCTTAAGCAGCTGATAATAATAAAAACTATATTTTTATTTGACAGAAAATTGGCGATTCATATTCTTTCTAGAATAAACTCTATTAATATTTTTCAGAGTATATCACGTAAAATCATATCTAATTCTGACATTTTCTAATTTTCTTCCAGATAAAGAATGTAAAATTCTCCGACAATTTATTGCGGTATGTCATATCTTCGGTTATCTTACACAAACAAAAAAAGAGATAATTTTCTTCTTTAGATAAGTTTATTCTCTCTCTCTCTCT